AAGATGATCTGCCCAATACTATATATTATCATTTAACTTGTCCCCTAATACATTGATCCTTTTGTACAGGCTTCTGCGGTGAAACTGAGGAGGAACACAAAGACACACTAAGCCTCGTAAAGGCTGTTGGTTATGATATGGCATACATGTTTGCATACAGCATGAGGGAGAAAACCCACGCCCACAGGAACTATGTTGACGACGTTCCTGATGAGATAAAGCAGAGGAGGCTGACGGAACTCATTCAGGCTTTTCGGGAGAGTACTGGGCAATGTTTCGACTCCCAAATTGGTACTGTTCAACTTGTGTTGGTCGAAGGACCCAACAAGAGAGCTCCTGACACGGAGCTCATTGGCAAGAGCGATAGAGGCCATAGGGTATCATTTCCCATTCTGCCAGTTCCAGATCAGGTTGATAATGATGGGAAGCGGAATCCAAAAGTTGGCGACTATGTAGAAGTTCGTATATTAAAATCTACAAGAGCATCACTCTTTGGAGAAGCTCTTGGTATAACTAAATTGAGCTCATTTTACAGCCTTACGCATGAAGCAGCTCTCACTTGTGCGATCAGAACTTAAAATTCAAGCCGCTTTTTAGGGTCATTGCTACATATTTATTTATTTGTCACAAGATAGGTTTTTGCCTTGCTGGGTGACCGTCTTGTCAAGGTTGAGTATGCTTACTATTGGGCCGAAAATCTACCAAATTGATGCGGTTTGTATGGATGCTCTTGCTGCAAAACTCGTTCCATAGAGAGACAAAAGAGGGATTGCAACGAGGAAAAAGATTACATAAAGGATGCAAACACCGACACAAAGATCGTCTCTCTCATTTCTGTATCTCAAGGAGAATCTCTTCAATGTCCTTTGTTTGCTCAATCAAGACACCGACACAAGGATGTTGCTTTCTCATTGGCTCCATCACTAGTTGGTAGATTAGATTAGACAGATGATGCGGACGTTATCTCCTCAGTCTTGTTCTTGTATTCAGATCCATTGTTGATCTAATTATCTGAGGTATCCAAGTTACGTTCCTCCAATAACACTACTTAAAATTAAATTTCATCATTTATCTTGCTCTAAGCGAATCCATCGGTTCCAAGGAGCTTGAATCCTCTCAAGTTGGATCTATGGGTTCGATTATAGATTTAAAAGATTAAACCTATCATTGTTGGAGATTTTCAAGAAATATTTACGTAAAGTCATATATGTGTGTCAATTTTCTTATGATTGACTTAATAATTAGGATGTTTTTTTTATATATTAATTTTGACTTATTAGTTCATAATAAAACTCGTAGTCTAATATACTAAGTCCGTAAGATTTTATACACCGATTTATTAATTTTATTCAAGATCATTGGACTTCGATTTTTGACAATTTTAGGAAGATTGATCGCCTATAGGTTGGTAGGGTAAGGTGGTTCGTACCACTCAAAGCTAAGATGAGAATTATGACTTTTTAATGAAAAAAAAAAGAAGATATTAGATTTTTTTTCATTTATTTCAAATATAATGTGTAAATCAGTTTATTTTATTATTTTTATGATTCATTACCATAAATGTAAGTAGATGATATAGTACCAATCACTTGTGATAAAATAAAGATCTTTTTTCGTGAGTACCATTGTTTTATCCCACCGAAGGGGTCGTATCTCGAGGTTGGCATGTATGTACACAAGTATGTGTGTTTGAGAGAGAGAGAGAAAGAGAGACGTGATGGGTGTGAAGAGTACTGGCGAGTGATATCGACAGGACGAGGCTTTTTTCTATGGCTGGGCTAGAGAAGCTCAGAAAAGAGAAAGTCAAAGGAGGGTGACGATTCGGCGCCCACTCGACCATGCAAGCAAACACATATGCTCAAGCTCAAGTTCAAGCTCCTGCGCAGTGACATTTGTAATTTAAATATTAAATTTCGTATTTAAATATGAATATTAATTTTAAAATTTATAAATTAAATATAAATTTTCTTAAAGTTAACAGTTCTGAGAGGATCATAATCTCTAACAAAGGGATAAAACTATGGTATCTTCAAAAACAATTTTGGAACTATACTAAAATTAAATTAGAGTCGTAAATCTTGATTTGAAGAATTTGTAGTCGTTAATTATAAAAATAATAAAATAATTTACAAATTATCTCATTTTTATCTGACTAAAAGCCGAGGTATAATATCAAAAATTATGTTTTTCATAATTAAACACTGGAAAAACATACAAATGTGAATAGCAGAGACATTTAATTCCATTGGCACATTAATTCAAGGAAAAGTTTTTTTTTTTTTAACAGTAAGAGATGTTCAAGTCAGTTTACGCATATATCAATTAATCCCTTTTTTAGTCCGGTTAAAGAGAGGTCATTCATGACGAAACTAGAACATTTGTGAGGAATAAATTTTTCGTAACCTGACTCTAAAAAATTATCAATATTCAAATTTAAAATATCTAAATTTATTGTTCAATCTCAATTACCACTCGAGGGGTCAAGGGACAATTCAAAAGGGTTAAGGATAAGATTTGAGTATGCAAAAGGAGTGAACACATTCTTTCAGGCACTGTTTTTTTCCCAACTTTTTGTTAAAGTTTTTTTTTTATCAGAACTTTTTGTTAAAGTTTAAAAAAACCATAATTTTTTTTTCTTCTCCTCTATTTCCTAAGATGCTTTTCCACTCTACCTCTGTTTTTCACACTAGAGGCAATACTACTGATGCATAAAAGATTGACTAAAAATAAGATAAAAGAAATAATAATGTAACATTCTCATTGTGGTATTTTTGTTATATTTTTTACTCATTCAAATTTTGTTTACCATATTAACTTTGCATCATTTCTTTCTTTTTTTTTTTTTTTGCCCAATCTAACATTAAATGATTAGAGTGAATCTTTAGTGTGAGAGATAACCTCCACTATTTAAAAAAAAAGCTAAATCATTTTTATTATTATATTAAACCCCAAAATTTTAAGGCATACCAAATATAAATAAATATAATGTTAAATTAAAGTAAGTTTGATTGTATTTAGCAGTTAGTTTTGGATTCGATCAAATGATTATTAACTTATAGTGAAATAGTACCGTAAAGGAAGGTTAAAAATAACCTCTATTGGGGAGTAAAATAAAATATGAAACTGTAAAATCCCAAGCAATAGAAGAGGCTCATGGCTCCTGAATGCATGCTTGTTGAATAATGAGTCGACTGACTCATAGAGTGCCTTGGTTAATGGAACCAGTTGGAGCCACAGCAACAAGAAGTCTTCAATGAGAAATTATCACTATTTATGGACTCAAACTTAGGTGATTTATCCCTGATGTGGATGAAGCTTGAATACATTGCTCATGAAAAGTTAGTTTGAGTTTTGTAATTTATCAAAGGTTATGTGGCACTTTGTATAGGGTAAATTAAACCATGAAAAAGAAAGAGCCATTAGAGAATGGGTGAAACCATGGTGTCACAAAAATAATTTTTTGACACATTTATAAAGTTCTACTATTTTATTACTTAATTTTTTTTTTTATCAATGGTCCCAAATTATTTAAACTAAAATTAAAGGTTGGGATAAATTTTGATATGGTACTGAGAAATTAATTTGTGTATTATATTTTTATTTTTTATTTAATAAAATTTTGAAATAAATATTTTATTTTATTATAAAGGTCTATGAGTAATTTATGGTGATAGTGGGAGACTGAGATATCTTTCAATATATTTTTTATTAAAAAATGAAGGAAAAAGAATTGAATAGATATAGATAGGATAGGTAGGGCTACAAGGAAAGGCTAGTGATCTTAGTCTGATAAAGTGAAGTGGAGACAAGATCAATGAGCGTGGCACAGTTGATACACCCGAATGAATCTTTCTCATTAATTGACAATTCCAAGCTCTAGATTTTCCGAATCTCACAATCAATACCCTTTAATTTACTCCTCTCATCCCTTATTCAATTCACTGAACAAGACAAACAGAAGTCTCTCCTTCTTTCTCTCCCTACATCCCTCTCGGGTGGAATGTACAGAACTGCATGAGAGACAGAGAGGCTGTAAGAGAGAACCATGTATTGGTGTTGGTGATCCTTTAAGAAACTAGGGTTTGGATGTGTTTTGAGAGATACAAGTTTTCCTGGGTGAAAAACTAATTAAAAAAATGACCTGGGTATTGAGAAGTTGGGTTTTGATTGGTGTAATGATTTTTGTAGGATGGTGTTTGTATAGGAGGAAAAGAAACAAGGAGGAGAGAGAAAATAAGAGTGGGATTCCAAGAGGGAGCTCAGGTTTGCCTTTTATAGGAGAAACTCTCGACTTCATAGCCTGTGGTAACACCTCTCGACCTGTCAGCTTCATGGAGAAACGCAAGTCTCTGTAAGTCTCTCTCTCTCTCTCTCTCTGTGCCTTTCCTTTTGCTAAGCCACCAGAAATGTGGCGGCTCTACCGCTCTCTAAGGCGGTTGTTTCGCCCTTGGTGGTGGACTCCACAGGAGTCGCCTATGCATCATCCATTTTCAAAAAAATTTTTATTTACAATCTGTCTTAACATAAGAAAATAAAAAAATGATAAGGTAAAAAAAAAAAATTGTTGTTTTTTACGCCATTTTGTTTCTTTAGGACTGAAAAGGAAGACGAAATGACTTTTAAAATTTTTTTTTTTTTTGTGGCGTGAAATAAGGCCTCCATCTGAAATTTTGCTTTCTCCTCAAACCATAAATCCCAGCATGGTTCGTTGATGACATTTTTTTTTTTTATGTTTGGAATATTTTGGATATTCGTAATAGCTAGCGATTGTTAAGATAATTAAAAGGTAGAATAAATTTTTAGTCCCTGAAGTATGTGTTTAATGTTAATTCAGTCTTTAACCTTTCAATTGTGTTTATTTGATCTCTAAGATTCTTAATTTTATTTAAGTGATTCAATCCTAAACGTTCATCCGAAAATCGTGACGGTTCTGATCACACGTCAATCACATGGTTCTTAATTTTATATTTATTTAGGCTCTAAAGTTCTTAATTTGTGTCTATTTGATCTCTAAAGTTTATAATTTATGTCTTTTTGGTCCCACAAGATTGGCGCGTGATTAGGGAAGTTAACAATTTTTTTTATGAACGTTTAAGATTAATGCTCAATTTGGTATGATAGAAAAATAGAAGGATAGATAAAATATCATGCTTGGTTAGAAAGGAAAATAGGAAGGATAAAAAAATAAATTGTTGAGTTTTCCTTCTAACTCACTAAAATTAATCCTCCAAATTTGAAATAAATTGGATGAAAAATTAATTTTATGTTAAAATGTATTTTATTTGTCTATATATCGTTTGATATATATATATACACCCACAATGATAAAATATGTATTTATATATTTTTTAAAAAATTATAATTATAATTATAATTATAAAAAAATATTTTTTCCATCTTACCAAGCATAAAAAAAAATTAATTATTTTTATATTTCATCCATCCTACCAAATACAAAAGAAGTAAAGTGTATCATTCCTACTTTTGAAGGATAAAAAATGTATCTCTCATACTTTATATCTTTTTTACTTTTCATCTTTCCTACCAAAAGAACATAAATCACAAACACACACACACACATATATATAAATTAAAAACCTTAGAGATCAAATATACTACTGTAGACTACTTAGAGACTAAAAATGTATTTTGTCCTCATTAAAACTAATTAGTAATTGACACAATTTAAAATAATACAGGTCGAAAACAACACCAATTATCATCCTTAGATGTAAGGGTGGAGTAAAAAAAAATGAAAAAAACCCGTTAAAAACACATGTTTTGTATTACTATCGGAATAGTTTTTACTTTTAACGCAGCTTCCAGTTATGTTATGATAATATTTGGGATAAATTATACTCGTTCCCTGACTTTTGGTTTTATTATACGGACACTCCCTCACTTTAAAAAAATTATATTGAGACCCCAATAGTTAGACAGAGTTAACGACCTTGATAAAAATACTATTTTGTCCCTCCCTGAACCAACCCAAAATCGCAAAAGCTTGCTTGCCCTTCACCCACCATTGCAATACCCTCCAATAGCCACCCCATCCAAATCTAAGAAATCAAAAGGATTTGATGTAAAGATCAGAGAAATCAAAAGGATCCAAAAAATTAAAAAATATGCCTGGATGATTATAGGGGTTCGATTTTACTGGTGGTTGTTGGGTTTGTGTGTAGTGTAGTTGAGGAGTTGGAAATGGAGGTGAAGGAGAAAAATGTGGTGGGGTTGTTGGATTGTGATGGTTGTGTGTGTGTGTTGTGTCGTTGTGGAGGAGAAAATGGAGATGGTGGTGGTAGACTGGTGATGGGGTTACTCCGTTACAGAGCAATGGTGGTGTTTTGTGTGTACAAGAGAGAGAGAGAGAGAGAGAGAGAGAGAGAGAGAGAGAGAGAGGGAGGAGGAGGAGGTGATTTTCAGAAAATTTTGGTGGTGGTTTTCATTGTGTAGAGGCGGCAGTGGGTGGTGGTTAACTGTGATAGTGTTAATGATGAATGTGGGGCAATTTTGGATTGATAAATGGAATATTCATTAATTTTTTGTCTTTTAGATTTGAGGCGATGGTGAGTGATTTTAAAACCCTAACTCCTCTCTGTCTTGCAGTTCTGAGGCATTTTTGTGGTGGTGGTAGTGATGGGTGTTTTTGTTGTGGTGGTGGTGGTGATTGTTGGTGCGTGTTACTGAGTTGGTAACGATAATGGTGATATTGTGTAGGAGAAGAGTCATGTACAGAGATGATTGATGATAGGTTATGGTTAGGTGGTTGTTTCAATGGTGGAGGCGAAGGTAGTTTCCATGGAGTTGTGGTTTCTCTTCTTTCTCTGTGCTGGTGGTGTTTGGATGTGTTGGGTGATAGATGCATTATTGCGATGGTTAAGTTTAGGCAATGGTGATTGTGGCGAAATTGGTGGTGATGGTGAGTAAAAAATTTATGTAATTAGATAAATAATAAATAAAAATAAATTTAATATGAAATAATTGGAATAGGTAATTATTAAGGTTTTAAAAAAATGATTATTTTTGAAATTGTATTAATAGTACCAGATATTATTTAATAAACACAAAAAAAATTAATATTTTATTTATTGATGTAATGTATTTAGAAATTAAACATATAAGTGTTAAATTTTAATATATATATTTCATATATAGATTAAAAAAATAAATGAGAGGTTGGATAAACTTGGAGGGTATTTTTGATATTTTGAGAATTATGATTAATGACCTCCACTTTGATTATTAACAACTTTAACATCTGTTAACTGGAGGTGGTGTGTCAAGAGAGTTTGCTGTTATTTTTTTAAATGTGAAAGGTGTACGTGTAATAAATCAAATATTAGGAGGTATAAATGTAATTTATCATAATATTTACCTTTAAAATCAATCACTTCATCAATTTCCTTGACGAGGAGGTCCTGTGGTTTTCATTTACCGACAGTTTGTTGGTCAATTGGACAAAACAAAACCATTTTTTGTTCCTTTGTTTCTGACAAGATTGATGCGACTTATCAAATGCTTACGATGATTGATCATGCATGCTTTCCACCTATTAATTTACATTTTCTGTGATCATCCATCCATCCTCTTTGGTATGAGATTGATACAAATACAATTCATCCATCATGGGACACCCCCCCAACCCTACTTGTATAGCTTTACCTCTCTAATTTCCTATATCACCAGCTATTTATTTTTCCTAGATTTGCAATTTAGACCCGTCTAATCTATTTTTTTAATTATGTTTACAATTGTTTTTATTTATATCTTGATAGAGACACAAGTAAACACTATTTTGAAAAAATAATAAACATAATTTTTTATACATTTAATTTTTTATATTAGTGAGTCATTAATTTTATTAGTAGGTGCATAACAAAGTAATGCTAGTATTTTAATTTTTCAAATAATAAAATAGTAAAATGTTTATTATTTTTATTATTACAGGGTATATCATTAACATTAGAGTCTATATATATCTCATGTAATACACTCATTTTTTTTGGTTCAACGATTAGAAATGTCTGAGTCTGTTTACACACACCTCGACTAATTTTCTCTTTAGTCTGATCAAAGACAGACCATCCACACTGAAATTAAAGTATTAGATAAATCTCTTATAACCTGATTTCAAAAAATTATAAAAATTTGAGTTACTTTTTTAGGTTATGACACACTCCTTTGGATATAAGTGAATTAAAAGAATTCTTCTTTTTTCAATGTTAAGTTCTTTCATTATATTTGTATGTGTGATACTCTTCTTGATTGGAACAAACATATTGTAAATTTTAGTCAATTGATGGTGCATTATAGCATATCAAACTTAAAATTCGTTATACAAGTATTTTGTATAAAAGATCTATAAACACTCAGTTTCTTTTCGTGTTCGTTCGACCGATGAAAGGGGAACGAATCAAGAAAATATATAACAGAATCTCTCTTTCTCTTCGCGTGCTTGGTGAAAACTACAGGTATGGGAAAGTGTTCAGAACACATATCTTGGGGAAACCCATAATAGTGTCAACCGACCCAGACGTGAACAAAGTGGTTTTGCAGAACCATGGCAGCGTTTTCATACCTTGCTATCCCAAATCAATCACAGAGTTACTCGGAAAATCTTCAATTCTTCAAATGAATGGAAATCTGCAGAAGAGAGTGCATGCACTTATCGGAGGCTTCTTGAGATTTCCACAACTCAAAGCCCGTATTACTCGGGACATTGACAACTCAGTCAAACTCTCATTGTCAACCTGGAAGGACAGAGACCACCGCCCAATAATTTACCTCCAAGAAGAAACCAAAAAGGTCTCTCCTCCCTCTCTCTCTCTCTCTCTCTCTCTCTCTCACGGCCAATATTTGCTTTGGTATCAAGGATATATACTTAGAACAGTAACTTTGATGGAACTGTAATGGAGTACTTAACATAATTCTTCTTTGGGTGTTAGATCACTTTCGAAGTTCTGGTCACAGTGTTGATGAGCGTTGGCCCTGGTGAAGATATGAACTTCCTCCAAGAAGAATTTGAAGAATTCATCAAAGGGTTGATCTGTTTACCCATTAAGCTTCCGGGAACAAGACTATATAAATCTCTGAGGGTAATATAACATCATTAACATTAGTTCGAATCTATGTATATATGTGGATATATATACGTATACGTAGAAGTAGACGTAGACGTGTATATATATATATGGATTGTGTGTGTTTGTTTGTTTAGTTGGTGACTATGATTTAAGGTTTATGTAGGCCAAAGAAAGATTGTTAAAGATGGTTAAAAGGATTGTGGAGGAGAGGAGAATGGCCATGGACAAGACAGAAGCGAAGGGTTTCCCAAATGACGCGATTGATGTGCTGTTACGCGACACAGGTGAATCAAATGAGACCCAGCAACGTCTACCGTTGGATTTCATCAGTGGGAATATCGTAGAGATGATGATCCCAGGAGAGGGCTCCGTGCCCATGGTCATGACCCTAGCTGTCAAATTTCTCAGTGACAGCCCCGTCGCTCTAGCTCATTTAGTGGTAATGTATCTCCTGTTGCTCTAAAATCAACGGCTACGATCATTTAAGTCCTGGAATAGTTTAGAATTCACGGTTGGGATCATCTGCATGCACGTGCATGTGGTGGACCCCAAACGAGTCTACGTCACTAAGATGTGATTGTGTTTTTGAGGAGGAAAGGTTTGACTTCCAAGTCATTAAACGCACAAGGATGCACGCACGTGGGCAAGAGTACGTTTGTGCCCGCATGGGACGAGTAGAAATTGTCGTGACTTTAGCCAGCCGTACGATTTCTATTGACATTTAATTATTAGAAAATAAACTTAAAAATATTAATTTAATTTATTGATCTAATCATTAAATTATCTGTGAAATTCAATAAATATTGAGACAACCACTCAAGTTGATAGTTGATAGTCTAGTGATAAAACTATATTCGTTTGGTAGTACTACGTTGATCAAATTAAGAGTTCAAATGACATGACAATATATTATTTAGAATTTTTATTATTGCCCAAATGACATAACACCAAATAAAGAAGTTCAAGTCAATTACCATGTCATTTGGACTCTTAATTTAGTCTAAAATTTTGATCAATATAACATTAATGATATTCGTTCAATGTCGTTTCTGACTCTCATGTACAAATAGAGAGAGCAATATGGTTTATTGCTTGATTTAGTAGTGCTGTGATGACGAAAATGTCCATTCGAGTTAATAGTTATAATTTAAATTGAATATTCTATAGTTGGGGGACCCTCATGGTCACGCCCAAGAAAGGTCCCTAAAGTATGTCTATTTTGTTAGTTTGGTCTTCATTATATTGAGTTTATCAATTTAATTCTTAAAATTTTAATTTGTGTCACTTTGGTCCTTAATCAGATAAATCGTCTAGTTTTTTTTTATGGAAATGACCACGTGTCATTTTTTTAAATGATATCACATACTCAACATGTGATTAGTTCGTCTATGTAAAGATCATTTAAACACGGATTGAATATTTTAAGAATCAAATTAATAAAATTGATATTTTAGGGATTAAACTGACAAAATATACATATTTTTAGGACCAAAATTGCTATTAACCCTAAACATTTCTATGAGATCTCAACAGTAAACGCATCCTCTTCTGACAATTGCCGGGATAAATCCCTGGGGAGGGCCCTGGAAAAAAGAGTATCGAAACCTTTAACGTTGTAGAGTGAATTCTTGACCAATTTCTCTGTTTTTAAGAGTTTATTCAGGGAAACTGACAGTAATGCAATCGTGTTTTTGCATTTGTGTTTTTGCGTGTGTAATGGTTTTTATTCTCGTATGACAGAAGGAAAACATGGAGCTGAAAAGGGTGAAGGCTCATTCTGGAGATGAGTATGCTTGGACAGATTACACCTCTTTGTCATTTACTCAAAATGTATGTGTCAATCAGAAGAATATATAATATGAAAATTAATTCCCATATATATAAAAATAAATAAAAGGTGGAAAATCAGAAAAGGGGCTACTAACCAATATTATTACTTATTGGTGATTAGGTGATCAGTGAGACTCTTAGAATGGCAAATATCATCAATGCAGTTTGGAGAAAAGCACTCAAGGATGTAGAAATCAAAGGTCAGTTCCATATTGTGTGGTTGAATATATTCCAGAAAGTCGCTTACTCAAAACGCTGACTCAAATTTTGATCGCGGATGAAATGTGAAGCCACTTACATTCTTGAAATTGGGATGAAATTACGATTTCTTTCTGAATCATGCCATACTGTAATATTAAAACCTTAAAAATAGGTTTGTGGGGTTGATTTCATTATCTAAGCCTCGTCTCTTCGAGTTGTGGCAGGTTATTTGATACCAAAAGGATGGTGTGTCTTGGCATCCTTCAGTTCTGTTCACATGGATGAAGAAAACTATGAAAACCCATATGAGTTTGATCCATGGAGATGGGAGGTAAGCCTTCTGTGCATTACTAGACACTATTATCTGCCTCTTCATTTTCATTGAAATTGCATGAATTGGACCATTTTTCCTTCATTTCTTTCTTTTTGGGACGCGCCGGGGAGAGGGCATGGGTAGGAACAGTATCATGGAGAATCTAAAGAAATGTAATTGATTATTAAGTTATCTTGTGCAATTGTGAAAATATATGTTGTTTTTGTGTTGGCAGAAAACAGGAGCTACTGTAAACAGTAGTACCTTTACACCATTTGGTGGTGGACAGAGGCTGTGTCCTGGTTTGGAACTCTCAAGGCTAGAAATCTCAATCTTCCTTCATCATCTTGTTACAACGTACAGGTATTTGTTTATGTGAAAGCATCAAGAATACATCAAACTCTACTAGTAAATCACAGAATACACAAGGACCATGAAGAAAGAAATTCTTAGGGCATACATGACAGAGGTCGAAAAATGACACAGAAGACGTAGTGCCTATCCAAGATATGATTACATGTTAAAATTAAGTCCAGGGCTTGTTTAAATTTGTGTTTAATGGTAGATGAACGTTATGTGATGGTAAATAATATGCTTTTTTGGTTTCTCCCGTGCAGGTGGGTGGCCGAGGAAGATGAAATTATCCATTTTCCGACAGTCAAGATGAAGCGGAAGCTGCCCATATCCATCACGCCCATAGACCACTGAGTTCTCTTTATTTCTGCTACAGTCATATGAATCATATCATACCAACATCGCGTAAAATGACTCTATATCATATCATACCTGTGTACTTGTTAAATGTTAGCTGTCCTTTGAGATTGTAGGCAACTACGAATGTGCACTTTAGATTTATTTCGGAAGGTTCAACTTAATTAATTGTTCTTGTCCAAGTTTCGAAACAATTTGTCTGGCAGCCATAAAAAATATGAAACTCTTTAAGTTATAATGCTTCTACTGTTTTTTTACAACAGATTACGAATAAAGGTGAAAATTAATGTCTATCTGTGTTGGTTTGGGCTTTTAAACCAAAAATGGACACAATTTCAGAGTGTGGTTCAGTGATAATCTTTTTTTAACATAATATCAGTAGAGCTGTAACGGAGAAAAGAGTGGGGAAGCTAGGCTCAACATTCCAACTTTTATGGTAGAATAGTTTTATGCAGCAATGCCAAAATAGTTTTTTCAGTTTGCAAGGAAGAACATGTCAAGCCATGGCTGTCTTCTTCTTCTCTTCCTCAAGCCGCTGTAACTCCACAAGTCTTTCTGCCCAGGCTCTTTCCCTAGCGACTGCAGCCATCTTTCGCTCTATCCTTTTTATGTTTTTCTTCCTCTTGGCTTCTTGCAACTGAGCTTTACGTTTCTTTTTCTCTGCCTGTGAAAGGTCCAAGCCCGGTTTAACAAGAAAGAAAAAGTATCCAATAAAGAAAATCCATGACATTTGAGCATAAGATACAACCCAATTTGCTAAGGCAATAGCTGTATGCAACCTATAAATTAGTGACCAAGAAAGTTACATCGAAATAAATGCATATAATATGACATCCCGTGTTGGGATTACCCCAGCAAATTAAACCTTCAAAGAAGAACACAAAATGCGAACTACGACCCCAGGACAGTGACACCTGTGTTTGAAGGAGCTCCATTCAACTGGCATTTACAGTTTCTATTCCTGAATATAAACTTTTGATAAGTGGCTTCAAGACAAGCAAGCGCAGTCAATTTCCATCTCATTAACTGCAAGAATTTCGAAATGCATGTTCATGAACAAAAAAGTTAAAAGACAGCGTTTGTTGTTCATCCCTGATTTATAGCCTCAGAGGGTTACCTAAGCATTTCTGGATTTCCTGGCAATGTGTACATCTAAAGACACTGTTTGAAGTTCATCTTTTTTGTTGTGTGATTGAAGACTTGTTATGTCTGCTATAATTCTATAACTATTGCTTAAATAGCTAAGTCACCTGAACTATAATCGGAGAGTTTTCATTAGTGGCAATAGAATAAAAACAGCATACATACATTGAATTTGACGATTGGACCTCTTCAACTTCAACCCCCAAGTTGAGACGCAAACTGTTTGTTCAGCTCTAAATTCAACTCTCAACTTGCCTAGGCTAAAACAACTAATTTTTCAGGAGCTGAACCGGATGTAGATCGGTCATTATTATATAAGCTTTGATTTGGAATGAGTTGCCATGGAGACTAAACTAAATGAAACCAATACAGCCTCAACTGGTTCTGTTGACGGGATATTCCTCATCTCAATTCTTCAAGCATTAATCAAAAAATGATTTGCAAAATCACAACAGAATGTATTACATCTCTTCTTGCAAAAAGAATTGTCAAATTAAACCTATCATTCCCTACATTTCACCTCTATAACTTCCCTCTTGCTCAAGCCTCCCATGACCAAGATTAATCATACTATTGTTAAGATTCCTAGCCGTGTCAACCACCCTACTTGCAAAACGAAACTAGTAATCAAGAACATGTTCTCTTCATATCTATCAGCCCTCCACTAATGATCCTAACATATCAAACAATAACAATGTAGTGTTTACCCAAGGCCAGATGCAAAAACAAACAGAGACGTAGCTATAGCAAAATAAAAGCAACAACAAAACTGCAAGAACAAGAAGGATTTATGAACACGCACCAATATGAATGCCAGCCGCTGTCTGATTCGTTTTTTCTCGTTCCTATGTTTGACACTCCCCTCGTTAGGGTTATTCGGGAGTATGGGTTGACCAGGAACATACTTTACCCAAGCATATGGCCCTGCATTCTCAAAAAAAGCCCCAATTTAATCAAATTTCATACTGTCAAAGCCACCAAAACAGCAACAAACAGTAAATAAATACAACAAAGGAACTGCTTTCATAAAATTGATCAAGATGTCCTTAAGAAAATGTCGAAAAATCTCAAATTCAAATCTCAGCTTACAAAACCGCAAATGGATCACAGGCTTCGCCGTTAACAATTACACAACAATAAACCCTAGTAAAACACTACTTTCACAGTATATGACGATAAGAGAATTCAAATGAGGACCTGGGGGTCTCAAGCTGGCCCTTTTACGACGAGGCTTGTCACTGGGCCGTCGCTTGGGGAGTCTAGTTTCAGTCAAGCTATGGAAAGCGCTTGATGGCGGAATCCAAGGAACATTCCGGTGAAGTGACCTGAGCAGATCCGGAGACGGCGAGGTGGTCGCCGGAGAGAAAATGGAGGTGGTACGGGTTGATAAGAAGGCTCTTGAAACGGGTCGAATGATGGATCTTAGGGCTCCGAAACCCATGGTTATCTCTGAGCTTGAACAATCGCTTCGACTTTGAGGACTACGAATTGTTTACAGATATGGGAGCCGGAGGAGTGAGAAGACGGCTAAAAGCCTAAAACATCCAAGGGATAAGCACGACGCCGTTTAGGGTTTTGTTTTTACAATCCCTTTAACTTTATCATAGTAATTTCCTTAGCCACAGTAGAAAATGAAATTATTGTCTTGATAGATTATTATTTTTGGGTTTTTTAAATGGCAAAAAAAAAGGGCTGAAAATCAATGTGAGATGGCAGGTTTTTTTTTAGCAGTCCTTAGACTGACAGTTTCGTAAATAAACTATTTTGGCATGTGTTGTCGTGATTTATTGAAATTTAAGTTTTTTTTTTTTTTGGGCTAATTTCCGTCAACTACTCTCTCAAATTTGACTCAACCACCGCAACTCAATCTAGTTTAATGGTGTTTTTCACGAACAAGTCATGGAGAGGATCAAAAAGTGCACCTTACTTATAAATGTGTATGAATACCTCAAAGTCGTGTACAATATGCGAACATCTATAGAAATAATATTTTTTGATTCTGTAAAAAAACATGAGCAATCAAAAGAATATGAGATGGAGGAACTCCAACAGAAAGAATTATTATTAGATTGGATTGCTTGTCAAATATGAATTCAAAGACAAAATAACTATTTATTTATGGAGAGTCATGCACCCCAAAAACACTCTTTTTTCATTTGCTAAGCAAGGTTATGTGAATATCTTTTGCGAAGGGAAACACGATCACAAAAATGGAGAGGTTTTTCTCCATTCTATATAGTGTGGGGGTGCTAAAATGGCACAATCACAATCGAGGAAAGATTGTAATTCTTCTTACAAAATGGGAGGTGCTAAATGTGATCATTGTTCATCTGATTTACCTTCGACCAGTAATAAAAACAAGGAAGTATAGCAGTGCTACAAATTTGTGTTACAATGAACTGCACGAAGAAGCAAACGCTTCATCATCGCCTGTATTCCTTGGTTTTGATCGAACATGGAAAATTATCCCAGCTTGATTGAACAAAGAGAGCAAATGAAGCAACTCTTCATTAGACAACTTAGAAGGTCTTTTATCTCCAAATCCACTAGATTTTAGAATGGCAATCATTTTATCCCTAAACAAATTCAATTCTGATTCTGAACCAGAGGGAGTGACTGCATTCTGTTCATCAGAACCAGTCAGTCTAGACAATTTCAATAGCTCATACAGATTTTTCTTCTGCTTAAATGTTGCACCCAATGTCTTATTCTTCTTCCTAAAGCATGTTCTGGTAAAAGCCCACCATTCATCAAGATCCACATGCGGAATTTCAGCTTTAGGACGGATCTTAACTACAGAAGAATAAACTCTTGGACAGGGCAGAAAGTCCCTTTTACTTACATTCATTACAAACTCCACTTCAGCCACCAGCTTCACATTCACAGCCAAACGGTTGAACTCCGAGTCACCAGGGTTAGCTAGTAATCTCTTTGCGAACTCTTTTTGAAGCAAAAGGGTCGCGCTCCTAAACGGGTTAACCCCGAATACCAACTTAGCAACCAGAGGAGAAGATATTCCATATGGAATGTTTGCCACAACAAGGTCAAACTGTGGGAACTCGGTTTTCAATGCATCCTTGGATATAACCTGTGAAACCAAATTCAAATCAGAATTCTAAAGCCATTTACAATATCATTATCTTCTTTGGGGCATTTCATCGAACATAAATGAACAATTCAATCTTACAGTTAGTTTATCAGCAAGTCCTTGCTCGGCAGCACGCTGATGGAGAACATCAACCATCCGCTTGTCAATTTCGACAGCAATTACCTTTTCCGCCTTTTCAAGAAGCTTCAGAGTGAGATTTCCGGTGCCGGGGCCGATTTCTAAGACCGTGTCTGTGGGTCTTACATCAGATTTTTGGACAATGGAGTGGAGAACTCGTGGGTTTGTAAGAATATGTTGGCCCATACTTTTGTAAAAATGGATATAACCTTCTTGATTTTCATGTTTCTTCCGAACTTTATCGCCGTCGTCGTCGTCGTCTTGGGGGTTGTATCGACGACTAGATTTTGCACGAAGTTGTTGTAGGAGAGATTGTCGGCGGAGGATGATTCTGAAAAGACAGGTAGAAAGAGATTTAGAACACTGAGGCTGAAGCATTTGGCCCAGAAATAATCTGGATGTGAAGTTTTTCAAATGAAGTTCACCGTCGAGAGCTTTGAATTTCAGTTGCAGAGAGTCCGAGAGGGAAGAGAACTGAACTTTCAAGAGATACGACACGAGACTTCATGGCGGGTGTGAGTGGTGAAAGCCCAGTCCAGAGGAGAAAACCTATTTAGGCCTACTATTTAGGGCTAACAAATGGCCCAATTTAGTTCAGAGGTCTGCACAGGAAGTAATGGAGCTAAGGCCACGCTCAACAGGCTAAACGTTTTCTGGCCCAATAGTATGATCCATGCTAATTAATGTAGCCGGAAGTAATGATTGGGTGTAACGGTTACATCACGTTTATAATGTCACGTGGTGTAACCGTCTAATAAAAAAATTACAAATGAATAAAATGAATTCCACTTTCTTACAGAAGTGATTTTGTATTAAAGCATCCAAAGTCATTACCTTTTTTCGTACCCAAATTTAAATTTGGGTAAAAATGGTCTAAAATATTTATCAAATACTAGACTCATACTCATATCAAATTAGGAGAAACCATTTTTTAAACCCAAATTTATACTCAAATCTTTAATAGTGAGATTTCATCATTTTTTAAAGATCCAATGATCATATTTTATCTTCTTTTAAAATTTGGGTTTCTATTTCTTCAAATTTGAATTTATCTATTAGAGAGGTATATACAAAATCAAGCTATTTATCTTTTCATTTTTACTTAGGTAAGAGTTTGAGTTTTTATTGGAGATTGTCTTACATGGCTGAGTGGTTATAAATTTATGTGGGGTATGTGACAGTGTTGACATGGTGTAATCCTTACACCCAATATTTTCTCGTAGCGAGGGTCTAACCTTTAAATAAAAAATAAAAAATGTTATTAGGACCTAAAAATTTGATCAATGATCTAGTTTTATTGTAACTATTAAATTAACACTAAGTTATACTCTGTCCACATTCAATCTAATTATCTAAAGATTATAGTAAATTAAATCAATAAATTATGTTCGCACACCATTCCTCTTAAAATAAAGGGTTAATCTCATTTTGCACCCCGAAAGATCGTTCGAATCTCAATTTGCACCCTCAAATATCAAAAATCTCAATTTACATCCTCAAAGATAGAAATTTGTATCAATGTACACCCCCAAAGATCAAAAATCTCAATTTTCACCCTCAAAGATAGAAATTTGTATCAATATGCACCTAAAACTAAATTGATAAATTGTACCTAGATCCCCTCATGTTTGTCAATTAATCGTTTGAACCCCTTCACATTTAGAATATTACTCATATATCTTATGACGTTTATACATGTGTAAACATAACCACTTTTTGTTGATATCTGTTAATATAATCGTTAAAAAATATGATTTTATCCTAATAAAAAATTATAATTTCATATTACCCTTTATTTTGTAGATTTGATATACTCTAAAGTTCAAAATCAAGCTTACCATTTGAATGTCTAATAGAATGTAGATATTTATATAAAGGAAAATATAAAAAACATTATATAAATATCTACATTTTATTAGACATTCAAATGATAAGCTTGATTTTGAACTTTAGAATATATTGGACCCGTAAAATAAGGGTAATATGAAATTATAATTTTTTTTAGGATAAAATTATATTTTTTAACGGTTATATTAACAGATATCAATGAAAATGGGTTACATGTTGTACGTGCATAAATGTCATGAGATGTAGGAGTAATATTCTAAATGTAAAAATGTTCAAATGATTAAGTGACAAGCATAAAGGGATCTAGGTATAATTTATCAATTTAGTTTTAGGTGCGATACAAATTTCTATATTTGAGAGTGCAAATTGAGATTTTTTATATTTGGGGTGCACATTGATACAAATTTCTATCTTTGAGAGTGTAAATTAAGATTTTTGATCTTTAGGGGGTGCACATTGATACAAATTTCTATCTTTGAGCGTGCAAATTGAGATTTTTGCTCTTTGAGAGTGCAAATTAAAATTCGAACGATCTTTCGGGGTGTAAAATGAGATTAACCCTAAAATAAATTGACTGAACTGAAAAAGAATTAATACCTTGAAAGGACGATGATTGTTCCAATGTTGGACACTTTAATGTATTACCCTTAAATGAGTCTTGTATTGTCTGGTGACTGACCTTTTGATAAGGTACCAAATTTTTTAGTTAACACTTAACAAGACCTAAATATCCTGTTTACAAAGGAAAAGTGCACATTTTGAAACCTTGAAAGAACGATGTTGTAAACGTGGTCTGCTTGAGAGTTTGCGAAAATCTTGATTCTCTAGCCGTTTCCAACCCCCCCCCCCCCTCCTTCTCCCGGGGGAGTAAATATTGGGTGTAACAATGGCATCAGACATCATCACTATCACATAATTATATTTTTAAACATTGAGTAGTCACAAAATGACATTTAGGAGTAATTATTATAATATGTGAGATTCACTTACTTACTTACTTATAATACTCTAATTGAATAATAACACCACGTGATAGTAAATGATATAGTGATACTATTACACCTAATATTTTCTCGCCTCGTGGGGATCTCAAATTGTCGGCAAATAATTGAGCTTCTACCCGTGTAGGTTTTAGTTTGTCGATTTGCCTAAACCAAAGAGCTGTTGTTTTGGTAAATCTCTTCATAAATAATTATGAAGGGACAGGAAAGATGGGAGAGAATGTGAAATTTAAGGGGAACATAGAGATAGAGATTCACAAACCTTTTGTCGGTACCGAAACAAGATATGGACCTCCTCCACTATTCATTATTTTGCATGGTCACGAGTTAGGGCAAGTTATATTGGTCCCAAGCCATTATTTGGGTCACCACATTCAATATCTTAGGAAGGCAGCAATCGACCACCCTGGTTGGTGGTCTTCTAACACAAATATAGTAAGTGAATATTTTCACGAGGTATGGTAAGTATGAGTTGGAGCCTTCAGAAAATAAGTAGATGGTCTCGGTGGGGACAATGGTTAGACTATGACTCCCTCCCTCCTCCCTCTTTTTTTTTTTTCAATGATAAGGGGTGTTTGGCTCACTTTATACGCATCAATATTAATTTACTCCCCGGTCCGATCAAAGACGTCTACCACTCATGTCGGGACTAAAGTATTTATGAAAGATAAATTTTTCATGGCTTGATCTCAAAAAATTATCAAATATTCAAATTTAAAACGTTTAAACTTAAAATTCATCTTTGTTATCACTTGACTTATCCCTTGAGATTACTATCACTCTCCGAGTTGAGATAACTCATACGATTTTCACATTTAGACATAGTTCACATTTTAAATAGACTTCGGCAAAGCAAAAAAAAAAAACTAAGTCTTACTTGGGCTCAAGCTCTTAGAATTGTTCAATTGTAATATAGATAAGAGCAATCTTATGGAAACTTAATTTAAGAATCTAACTCAATGTGCTTATTCACTGTAGTTATTAGACTAATTATCTGTTTTAAAGTTGATTAGAGCACACTTTTAATTCAACCAAAATAATTGATTTAGTTCTTAAATGAAATGTCTATATTAGTTTCAAATTACATTTTATTATAGAGAATCCCATGTTGAAGAAAAAAAATACATCGGTTGCGGGAAGAGATTCAGATAGACCGATAAGTTCTGATCCATTTTTTCAAACGTTAAGCTCTTTTAGAAGTGGTGCTTGAACTTGAGCTTTGTGGCTTTCTTTTGACTCTTACAACTACTGGTTCCGAATGGACTGATATAGACTTGTCAAAATAGATTATTTGTTTTTGGTTTAAATGTTACTATTTTTGTTTTTAAATGTTATTATTTTTTATTTTGTTTAAATATTTTTTGTTTCTTATTGAATGTTCTTATTTTTTAAATGTTATTGTTTTCGATTTTGAATGTTCTATATTACTGGTTTTTTTTTACCATATTACTGTTCATGTTTACTATTTTTGTTTACATATAACTGTTTTTGTCCGACATGTTACTTTTCATATTACCATTTGTGTTGAACATGTTACTTCTATTATTTTCTTAAATATTAATACTCAATGTTATTATTTTTTTTATTTTTGAATATTATTATTATTATTTGTGTTTAAATATTACTATTTTTTGTGTTTGAATGTTATTATTTTTTGTATATATATGAGAGAGAAATAAATAGTTATGTTCTATATATGGATATAAATAAATATGAGAGAGAAAATTTTTTAATGTTAACCAAATTCATAAAATTTAAAAGTTGTTAGTTTTCAAATTTATTTTTGTAAGAGATAAAAATCGATGATACCTCTCATTATATGTTGAATTTGATATTTCTGATAAAGAGTATTTCTGAACTTGATCTCTCAATCCTCTTGTTCTGCAAAACGAACAAACTGTCCAAGATCGAAGAACTTCGATCGAAGGCACTTTAATGCTTAAGTCAGTAATGGAATAGAAATAATTGTTAGAAGACAAAGAGAGTTCAGCATACCTTTCACCTTAGTTCCTTTTGATTTTTATAGACCCTATTCAATTAGGGTTTCCATGAATTTCGATTTAATGTGACACACCTTCCTCCAATTAAGCGATTCAGTTTGAAAGCTGTTGAAATCTCTTTAACAGTTTCGTTGGCCTACAATTAAACTTATTAGCTTATCTTAAACGCTTAAATTTTTGGCGAATTTTTATCTTTTCGTTAAACAGCTCGGTCATGATTAGGACCGAGCTCTTTCGTTACACACTAAATACCTTGACTAGGGCTGAGCTCTTTCATTGCTTGCCGAACAAATTGATTAGTTTGACAAGGCATGTTTGTCTGATACTGTCCTCATGTGCTCTGCCTTGTCATTCTCACGTGAGCTCATTTAATATCATAACACGTGTAATAATGGTATCCAGCCCCTTTATTTGCCCCCAGAATATGTCTGACAGACGCTTTTCGTCTGTCAGTCATTTTTATGCCTTTTCATCATCATTGCCCGTACTTCGTGACATCCCCTTTTGTTTTGGCAGCATGTTTTGTATTTAAATATTGTCTTTTATAATTCTCCCTCTTTATAAACAATTTCTCTTCGTTTTTCTGTCACTTTGCCTTCTCAGTTTCAGATTCATCTCTTTCTTCTTTCTGCGATCATCTCCCTCAATGACCTCTCTCAC